TGTTAGAAAGACCATTGTATTATACCCTGAACTGTCAGAGGGACGGTAACAGACACAATAGCTTTGGAAAGCTATGTTGCAATATGTACTGCTAATCCTAACAACTCATAATTTGGGCTCAGTAATTCCAATTCTAGAAGTCTGTTTTTAAAATAATAAAATATATAGGCAAATATTTGTAATAACTGTGTTTACTGTATAAAGCCTTCTTTATAACAATAAGAGTTAAATTGTGATATGTTTACATGATGTTCATTTCATATAATAATTAAAATTAAGAACATGATTAATTTTTAATGCCAGAAGAAAATGCTCACAATAGTGTAGAAACAGCATATATTTAATAATTTATATAATAAATTGTAGTACCCTTATATAAACACATTACATCGACTTCTTTTTCATTTATTCCTCACAATAGCTCTGAGGTGGATAATGTTATTTCCTCATTTATACATGAGTAAGTTGAGGCACAGAGAAGTAATGTGCCCCGATCTCCTGATGGTAAGTGGTGGAGATGTAATGTGATATAGGTAGTCTGAAACCCTCTTTGGAGTCTGGACCATTAACTACAAGGCTGTGATGGAAATTATGCAAGGAGCACACGTGTAAAGATAAAAGACTTGAAGGAAGTACGCTAAAGCATTAGCTATGATTGACATGGTATGTGCATATGTCCAAAGTTTAAATAGATGTTCTCTTTTATGTTTTTTGTTTTATAATTTCACAACAATGAATATGTATTCTTTTTATGAAGAAGATCAAGTTTATTTTAAGAACCATTCAAAACATAAAAGATAAAAATGAATAATTGCATGATTTTCTATAGTTCTTTGTGGTTTTTGAAGTACTTTCATATTACTTATCTCATTTGATATTTATAATTAAAGTGACCTTGTGATTGATTATCTAAACCATTTTTATTTCTAAAAAGGTTGCTATTAATATTTATACCATGAAAATAATGAAAACTTGAAATATCCAAGAAAACCAGGATATAGACTTACTCTACTTAAAACATCTCTTTGAGGTCAAGAGTGCTTAGGTATCTTTATTACATTTCTTAGCTGAAAAAGTAGTTTAATGGCTTGATTAAATCACACAATGAAAAAAGCACAGTTCTGAAAATATATTACAGGAAAAAAAAGATTGTCTTGACTTAGTCTATGGCTCTTGTGATTAAAACAAAACAAAACAGAAAACCCCACTGGTGACAGTTTTCTCAATCAATATATGTTTTTGAATTATACAGTCCTAAGAAATTTAAAATCTAGGAATTGTACAAAATGTTATTTAATTTAAAGTTTTATGCAATTAAAATTTCTGAAACTTTATAGTATTCTGCTCAGGAACCTGAGGTTTATAAAAGGGGATACCTAGTATGTGTGATTATAGGTTATCATTCATGAGCCAGAACACCTTCATCCAAATAGTACTAGGAAAGCAGCTGACAGAGAATGAAGCTAGATAAATATGTTTAGATGAGTGAATCTTTAGCAAAATTGTCTTCTATACAAGTATTCATGGTGGATAATGGTAAGTGAAAGGAGCAATATTTTTCATTAGTGATTGGGTTAGAAAGTTGAAAAACTTACTGGTCAAGCTTGAGGGTGTCATTAGGCAGATGACAGTGAGCAAATGATATTTGCCAATGCTTTGGCTGGTGGAATTATATGTCTGAAAAACGATTTAGCCAATAGTGAAAAAAAAGGAAATAAAAAATGAGGGCCAAATGTATAATAGATATTAATTATAGATTGGGGCAAAAAGGCGAAAGTCACTGCAAACTACAATCTGCAGATGTCTTATTTAGCCAACAGAGTTTTTTTGTTTTTTGTTTTCGTTTTAATGATTTTGAATTGGAAACACTTTAAGCAGGTCAGCAGGCATTCTGGATTTGACATCCCTTCTGTCCTCTGCCCAGGTCCCCAGCAGGGCCTCTGCCACCTCTGGTGGTGCCTTGCTGGAAACCTGCAGCTCTGGGAACATGCAGCCTAAAGCACATGGCTCTGGGAACATGCAGCCCAAAGCACATGGCTCTATGAGCAGAGCAGGGACAGGATTGTGGTCCATGCTTGCTCTTGCACTTTGAGATTTTATGAGATTTAAAAACTGCACACCATAGCCTGGAAATTCTTACTGCTGGTTCATACCTTTTCACGTCACACATTGATGTAACCTGTCTGGCTCCTGAAGGCCTTTCATTATGGATCCTAAATTATAATTAGTCTCTATCTCTGTGACATCATGGCATCATAATCTAAAGTCATTTAATACACCAGTAGGTAATTCACTTTACAAAGAATGCTGGATCAAGATTTTTTTCCTTATTTTTCCCTTATTTGATTTTTTTCTTTATGTACACAAACAAAAGGAATATATAGTTTTTAACAGTAAGAGGAAAATAAAATATGAGAAAATATGGCATGAGGGTTTTTTTAGATATTATTCAAAATATTTATATTGAATCCCTAGTATTGTTAAATGTGTTCTTGAAAAAGTATACTGGGGTTTGCATTTAAATTCAGCTATCAAAATGGCATATCTACTCTTATGAAGAACAGAAATTATTAACATTTCCACTTTTCTGTTTCTCCAATTAAAAGGAAATAGCTATCTTAAAAAAAATACTATGAAAGCTATGCAAGTGAAAAAAGAGATCAAGAAGAGTACATGTGGTGAAATATAAAGAAAACAAAAGAATCATCACATTTAATTTGGATTTATGCTGATGAAACCCCTGTTAGCATATTTAGGTGGATCAGGGTAAATATTATCTGCTAAATCAATGTCACTTTAAAAATAATTTAATTTATAGGCAGTTCTTAACTTATGATTTTCCAGCTTTACAGTGGTGATGGTGCAAAAGCAATATACATTCAGTAGAAACCCTACTTTGAATTTTTTTTTTACTTCTTTTAAAATTTTATTTGATTCATTTTTAAAATATTTTTATTGAAGTATAGTCAGTTTACAATGTTGTGTCAATTTCTGGTGTACAGCACAATACTTCAGTCATATAGGAACATACATATATTCATTTTCATATTCTTTTTTTACCATAAGTTACTACAAGATATTGAATATAGTTCCCTATACTATACAGTATGAATTTTGAATTTTGAATTTTGATCTTTTCTTGGGTTAATGAGATGTGGTATGATAATTTCTTGTGATGCTGACAGCTAGAGAGCTGCAGCTCCCAGTCAGCCACTCCATCACCAGAGTGAACAACTGATACACTTACTACCATTCTGTACCCACACACCAGTCTGTTTACTTTTAGCACAGTATTCAATGAGAGTTACATGAGATACTCAAGCCTTTATTATAAAATGGGTTTTGTGTTAGATG